TATGGAACAAGAGTTGTAGCTTTTGGGTCTGATAAGGTCAGTGAAATCCCCTCAGGATTTATCCTGAGATCCTGTACCTCAGATTGTAGAACCTTTGTCACCAAATACTAGACTTTTGACTGGAGGTTTTCCTCTCTATTTCTGGCCTCCATATCTTGATTTATTGCTTCATTTCTGGTGTTAAGCAAACTGAGATGTGGTGTGGGAAGTGACATCATCAAGTGACGTGGAGACGGAGATGAGATCAGGAGTTTTTCTTCCTATTTGCTGAGTGGCATTTTTAAAGATTTGCTTCTAAACATAAGATTTAATAATAGTGTTTACCTTAGAAGCAGCATGCCAGGTAAATTTCTAAGAAAAGAGAACTTTTCTGGGTTATAACATAAAATGCATAAAATCATTTGGTCATTGGCAGTGAGGGCCAGAGGTTGGCATGGGGATGTACTTATCCTCTTCTGTAATTTCTGCCTCTCGGTCCCTCCAAATCAGTGTAGGGTCCCATTGGAAACAGCGCTTGCCATGTATACCAGCTCTCGACAAGCCTTCTCCCAGTAATGTCCTGCGGGCTTGTCACCTGTCTAGGGCACTTGCTCAGGATACACTCTAGAAGGTCAGCACTGTGTACTGCAAGCTGCACCGGAAGGACGTGCAGCCCACAGCACCATTTGAGAAGGGAGATGGCAGTAAAATCTCTAGACGACATATAGTGTTCTACTTTCTAAGCCCCCATCGAAGCAAATGGGAGCCCATGACTAGGACCACGAGGAGCAATGTACAGAGCAGAATTGTTCTGGATGCTTACCAGGTAAAACGAGGGATCATAGAGCTGAGATAGCAAAGGCAATGATGCATGCTAGGTGCGTGGAAAGCTGGTGTAAGAGCAGTAAGATTTTTATAAGTGAGAGTCACACGAATTAAGAGTTTTTTATAACACTAAAAATATTTGCTATTTGCTAATTTGCTTGTCATTAAAAAAATTTTTTTTTGGTGGAACTTGGGGTTGAACCCAGGGACACACTGTCATCTATCCATCCGTCTGTCTTTCTGTCTGTCTATCTGTGTTCAGCCTCACTTTGATCTTACGATCCTCCTACCTCAGCCTCCCAAGTAGTTGGCATTAGAAACATGGACTACTGTACCTGACTTAATTGGCATACAGTAATTGACCATATTTGTAGGGTACAGCATGACATTTTAATACAATGTATACAAGGTGTAATGATCAGATAAGGATCATTGGCATACCCCTCAGCTCTGATTTTTACATTTCTTACTGTTGAGAGTATTCAAAATCTTTTCTAGTAGCTATTTTGAAATATTCAATTGACTGTTGCCAACTGCCTATAACATGCTATGCCAAAGAACACTAGAGGTCTTTGCTGTAACCCAGCCGCACGCCTCCACCTGCTAACCGCCCTTTCTTTCTCCTTCCCCTCCCCACGTCCTTCTAAGGTAAGCATTATCTCATCTTTACTTCAGTGGGATCAAGGTTTTAGCTTTCCCATAGAAGTGAAGACATGCAGTACTTGTCTTTTTGTTTTTGATTTATTTTGTTTAACATAATGATCTCTATTTCCTGCCTGTTGCCGCTTCCTTTCCAATTTTCCCAGCCTGTGCTGGCAATAATTCTGAAGTATTGTGCTTTGCCCCTCCTCCCATTGTCCCCATTACCCTATGTTGCCACCTGATTTTATAGACCGCCACCAACATCCCAGCTTCATGTAAACCCACAGGTTTTTTTTTTTTTTTTTTTTTTTTTTGCTTTTTGTGTTTCCCTAGGTGTTTGCAGTTGTTGTGGCTTGGGGAGCATAGGAGTCACTTCCAGGTCCTTGTCTTGGTCCAAGAAACCAATATTTATAATCCCAAAGTTACGTTATTGGAATTCCATCAAGTTAATTTCAATCTGCCGCTTTCAATGCAACCCATGGTGAAAATAAAGACACTAAAGTATATTTTCAATCATTGGAGAGTCAAGGGACTATATGTTCAGCCACAGAGATGGCTTTCCGGAACAAAAAGAGAGCAACCCAGGGCCTCACTCGATTTTTATTCAGTGGAGGAGTGGCTTGAGGAGGATTGACTGAGAATTGTGGAAAGTAGATGACTACTGTGAACTGAGCTAGGTGGGTGGCCTACGTTTACCTCCGCCATATGCAGAGAGGATATGCAGAGACAGTAATCTGCATTATACTATTATGCCATTGAGATAGTATCTAATGTTTTGGGGGGTCTGGTGCTTCAGCTTTGATATAGTCTTTCAAGCCCCAGGAAGTCATAACCTCTATCTCGAGGCTCAATCCCAGCTGGTGGCGCAGAGCATTGGCTCTTTGTCCTGTCTCGACCCAGCTCACATTAAAGAGCAGCATGTGAAGGGTACCAGGGAAACATGCATGCCACCTTCAAAGGCTATCACCAGCACCTCAGCTAGACCAGTTACATTGCTTAAGGCCAATTGAAGGATAAACAGAAGTCCTAGTCAGCTGTGTACATATCAATACAAGGAAATAGGGTCAGGCTCGGTCAAAATGGAGATAGTCGCTCTTCTTCAAGCAGAACTGCTCAGGTGGTCCTCCACAGGGGAGGGCTTGCCCTTGTTGGTTCTCCTTGACACTGTCCTTCTGCTTTCTCAGGAAAGAAGAGCCCAGACCTTGGGGAGTATGACCCCCTCACCCAGGCTGACAGCGATGAGAGCGAAGATGATCTTGTGCTTAACTTGCAGCAGAAGAACGGAGGGGTCAAAAATGGAAAGAGTCCTCTGGGAGAAGTGCCAGAGCCTGACTCTGACACAGAGGTGGCCGGGCCTGCAAAGCCCCATCTTTCTGAAGTCACCACAGAGGGGTACTCCTCGGAACCCCTTGGGGGCCTGGAGCAGAAGACAACCTCCTCTCTCGTGTCCTACGTGCGCACGTCCGTCTTCCTGCTAACGCTGGGGATCTCGATGGTCCTGGTGCTCCTTTGTGCTTTCCTCATCCCTTGTCCCCCCAGAGACCTGCACAGCACTTGGAGCCGGCGCCTGGGCTCCCAGCGAGGTGAGTGGGGGGACTTCCCGTGCTAGTTCTGTAAGATTTTAAAGTATTGGCTGATTGAATTTTCTCTCCAAATCTTAAAAATGAGTGCACCTTAGATAGCACTGTACCCCACATCCCCATGCATGGAAGTGGTTAGGAGGTTAAGATTTGAAATAAGACAGTAGTAGGGCGGCTGCACCTCCCGACACGGCATCCTGCCAGGACTGGTTCAGAAGCAGACAGGACAGGGTGTTGGCTTGCTGGGTTCCTGCAGGGGAGTGAACAATGCAGCAGGCGAATGCAAAGCTGCTATTTACAGAGCAGAGCAAGGCTCCAGGCCCCTTGGGCCTTCTTCAATTGTACAAGCCTGGCCTAATTAAAATTTTGAAATAATTTCATTTTATGTGGAAGGCAGTTACTGTCTTTTTTTCCTTGGTCCCAGCAGTTAGGGTGGTGCTGTCTGAGGAGGGCCAGCTTTTATCTCTGAAACCTCTTGGTCAGGATCGGGGATCATATTTTAGCTATACTAAGCATTTGTCTCCTGTGAGCTGGATCAGGCTGTCCCCAGACACCTCGTGTCATCCTGACAAGGAAGGGCTTATTATCTGCTGCTTCTTGGGTCCTGGTTGAATTAACTTCTGGTGGGCTCTGTTTTTATCTTTGGGTCTCTTAAGGCAAGTGTAATTTCCATATGCGATATTTATATAAAGCGTGAAGACTAGTGACAAATTCTTGGTGAATCCAATACCCAGCTTGAGGGGTAGAACACATTGCTAAGTGAAATAAACCAGGCAGAGAAGGATATACTTATGGTTTCTTCTATATAAGAAACCCAAAATATAAAAAATTTAGAAGGCGAAACAGAGATGATAGCAAACAGGAAAATAGACTTTGTTGAGATGAGAAAGGGGGAGGGAGAAGGTAAGAGGGAAATAAAAATGACCAAGGTGTGACACGTGTGTGTACCAGCTCTGCAGGGTGCGTGCGGTTACGTGTTTCGCAAACATGGGTATACAGAACGGCCAAGAAAGACAGAGCAGTAGGCCATGCGTGGGGTCCTGTGCCAATGATTCTAGCACTCGGGGGCTGAGGCAGGAGTAGCTCAAGTTTGAGCCTACCTTGGGCAGTTTGATTTGCTGAGACCCCCAAAAATAAAAAGTGCTGAGAATGTTGTTTAGGGCAAAGTCCCTGAGTTCAGTCCCTAGTACCAACAAAAGAAACAGAGAGAGAAAAAGAAGCAGCACATCCTTGAGACCACTGTAGTCTCCTTTCTGTTTCTCCTGACTATAGCCTCCTCTACTCACTACAGGGTTCTGCCTGCCTGAATTGGTGTGCATTAGCCCGTGGTTAAGTTTTGCCACAGTGACATGTAGCCCAAGTGGCCTATTTATTTTGTCTCTTCTTGAATTTTACATAAATGCAGTCATGCAGACTTGCTTTTTGCTTCAGCATGAAGTTTTAAAATAATACTTTTGAGGTTAATCCCACCTCTCCTTTGCTTCTCTGGGATTCAGTTTTACTACTGTTGACTGTTCTGTGATATGAATGTCCCATGACTTATTTTGCCATTTTACTATTCACATGACTTCCAGTCATTTTTTTTTTTTTTTTGGTAAATGATGTTGCTAAGGATTAAGTCTCCTGTATAAGAAATTCTCTAAGGCGTAAACCTCTGAGTAGAATTGCTGGGTCAGAGGGTGTGCACATTCATTCTTACTAGTTGATAAGGCCCTGGGTTCTTCTAGAGTGGTTTTGTCAATTTACTCTTCACCTGCAGTGTATGAGTTCTCTCCAAGTTTGGCGGGCACTCTCTGACTCCACACTTGTGTGTGGGGAGGTCCAACTGTGTTATTGCCAGTAGGATGCAAGTCCAGGCTCCCCACCAGCCCTGGAGACACCACCCTGTCTCATTAGAGCTGCAGGCCTCCCTTGTGTGTGGAGGGCCTTGGTACTGCGTGGTAGGATGACAGCCCTGGCTTCCTAGTCTTCCTAGTGTGTGTGTGTGTGTGTGTGTGACCTTGTCAGCAGGACCAGGTGGAAGTAGGGCATCCTGTTTGGCCTCTCTCTCTCTCTCTCTCTCTCTCTCTCTCTCTCTCTCTCTTTCTCTCTCTCTGTTGAGTCTAAGGCCATACTTTTGTGTGTGCAGATCAGTGGGAGTAGGGTAGTCAGTGTCTGAAACGTTTCTCCCGGCCAGAGAAGCCAGCATTTCTTGGGGTTCTTGGTTTGCACCTGTGGCATTTCTGGGTTGCTGGTTTCTTCAGCACCTTGTCTGAGAAATATGAGGCCCAAAGAAAACCCAGGGGGACCCATCACCGTGTCATCCCATGGTTCCTTCCCTCTCTAGTCCATCTGCCTTCATCTGTCCATGTCACAGAGCCTTGCTGTGTAACGTCCAGGGCTTTGAGATGGACTTAGAGGGCACTGGAGGTGAGGAAAGGCACTGGAGGTCAGCCTACCTTGGGCAGTTTGATTTGCTGAGACCCTAAAAGATAAAAAGTGCTGAAGATGTTGTTTAGGGCAAAAGCCCTGGGTTCAATTCCTAGTACCAACGAGAGAGAGAGAGAGAGGGGGAGAGAGAGAGAGAGAGAGAGAGAGAGAGAGAGAGAGAGAGAGAGAGAGACAAATGCGATTTGTGTGGGAGCCAGATGTCTGCCTGGTTTTTGTGGGTGCTGGCTGTGACCTATACCTTTTCCAACCTGGCCTATCAGAGCGTTCTCAGGCCTTTTTTGTTTCTTTGCATGTACATCATCAGGTGGGGACCTGTCCCCGCTGGAATTGGCTGACGTGAACGGAGATGGCCTGCGGGATGTGCTTCTTTCCTTTGTGACATCAAGGAACGGGAGCTCTGCAGGTAAGGAGCACACCTTTCTGAGGCTGCTGTCACCAGGACAAAGCTGACGTTGTTCCTAGTGGAGCACAGCATAAGAAGGTCTGCAGCGAGCACAGTCACCACAGCCTGCCATGTCTGAGTCTGACCAGAAAGTGCTTGCACGAAAAATAAAGTCTAGTTCAGGAAACCCAAGAGAGCTATAATTGGAAGGCGCTTTCAGTGGTTTCCTAGGCCGCTGAAGAAACTGATCCCCAGAGGAAGTGGTTTGTCCGAGTCAGTGCTTAGGTTTCTGGACTTCCTCTGTTCTCTATCGCCTCTTAGATCACAATGAATGTCATCCCTGGCTCACAGCCTTTGTTCAGGAGCTTACAGATTCCATCTGAGAAGGTCGTATGTATTTGAAGTATTTATTATAATAAAAAGCACATTTTCCTAATCTCTGTCTCATTCCCCAACACCTTGCTTCAAACATAATTGTGCTATCAGTTTTGCCCTTTTCTGAAGCAGTTTTGAAAGTCTTCTTTCATGAGTGTCTTGGATGCCTTGATGTCCTGAACTGATTCCAGATATTTACCTTTCATGGTCATTTTCTCTTGGGGAACGATCCAGAAGTCCTGTGCTGCCACATCTGCTGAACAAGACAGCTGACGCACTGTCATGGTTTTACAAGCCTGCCTTTCCATTGGCCGGCACTCAGCAGCAGCATTCACTGTATTTGTGATCATGCTTCATACAGACACTTGTAAAAGAGGACCCAGAGCTGCTTCCGAAAGTGGCAAGAATGATGGGGTGAGTGGTTCAAAGAGAGGGGGAGCGTTTTAGGAAGTTTAATTGCAGCATTCACTTTTTTTTTTTTTGAGATAGGGTCTTGCTTTGTAGTAGACAGGCCCTGAACTTAATCTATAGCCTAGGCTGGCCTTGAAATTGCAGTGATCCTCCTGCCTCAGGATCCTAAATGTTGAGATTATACCTGGCAAGGGCAGTGTGTGTCTGTCTGTCTGCCTGTCTGCCTGTCTGTCTGTCTGTCTGTCTTTCTTTCTTTCTTTCTTTCTTTCTTTCTTTCTTTCTTTGAGTTCTTTAAGGACCTATATCTGTTCTTTTCTTTTAATTTTTTACTAGATTACAAATTGAAAATAAATTATTTACAAACATAAATGAATATAACAATAA